TGAACCAATGTGTCAGAGGGAAAACTTGAACCCAGTACTGACTCTAAAGCTGGTCCTCCATTCATTACTCCATGTGGCTTTTCAAGTGTATGTATATCCTTGCAGAAGAAGAATGGCAACTTGTAGCGAGAGAACATAGGGAAGAAGGCCATTACTTCTGGTGGCACGGGAACAATGTTGCACTTACTGCCTCAGACATTTACTAGCTATAAGCCCCTGGGCAAGTCACTTAATCTCTCAGCACCTCAGTTTCCTCTTATGTAAAATGAAGATAATAATAGCAACTACTTCACAGGGTTATTATGAGGATCAAATGAGAAAGCATGTAAAGTACTTCTCAAATCTGAGATAGATAAATACCAGGTATATGGAAGGAAACCATGTTCTACAGCAACTTCTCACACAAAATAAAACATGGCCAAGAATGGTCAGATAAAATGAGGAATCTGTAAGGACTATTAAGGAAACTGAAAATGTCAGCATCAACACAAAAATCAAAAAGTCTCTCTCACCACTATGGCCAAAGAGACCTGACTGCAGTTGGCCAAAATACAAACTTGCCCGTCTTGCCTGGATCTGGAATAAAATGACTGTTTTTGCCTGTATCTACTTCATTATTATTAGTGATTATTATAAATGTAGTTCCTTTATGTACATATGTTCCCCTGTGTCTAGGGTGTTCATATTTTAAACTAATTCTCACTAAAAGCCTTCGTGGTCTTTTGGATGTTCTAATGGGGAGATTTTCCAATGGGTGATACAAGTCAAAGGAGGGAAATTGACATAACTAATCAAGTGACCAGAAAAGTGCCAGCTAAGAGTTTTTGAATGAGTGGATGCAGAGTATAGAGTGACCTTGACAGACCAAGGTCAAATATGTAGTGGATAATGAAATCGAGCTCTACCTCATCCTTTTGGGTACAATGAAGTTGGGACAGTACCTGGCAAGCAGAAAAGAATCACAAAAGGGTTGCTATTGTAAATACTTACAGTCCAATGGAAATGACCTTCCATAAGAATGACTGACCATTGAAGCACATTCCATTAAAAGTTAAAGTACAGAATGATAATTTGTCCTATGTATCCAAAGCAAAGTACATGATCATGTGGGTAGCATGATTTTGTAATTTGAGGTATATGAAAATGTCACCCAGGGCTCATTCCCACTCCAAGGAAATAAGAAATAAAAGGCACAGTAGGGAGGAATAGACCAGAAGAGGCAGGTTCCTGTGGACCTCACAGAATTAATCAATTCTACCTCTTACACTAGATTACAATCTCCTGGATCATAAGGACTATCTCCAGTCTTGTATCTCTTTATCTCCAATGCCTCGTACTTTGTTCTTTCTAAGCCAGAGTGTTTGCTGCTGAGAACACAAAACTAAACAATTAGAAAATGCCAAGAATACCGATGAGTCACTGCTACTAGGTTCTCCAAACCATAATATGAATGACCAAAATACCAATAACTATTGTGTTTTTCCTCCATACACCAAATCAGAAATAACAGGCAACTGAACAGATCAGAGGTCAGAGTTCAGTTCTACCTGTGAAAAAAAGGCACTGTGGATTCTGCTACAAAAAGTCCATCACAACAAATTCAGCTCAATACCTAAAATGCAATACATTAAGCACCTACTACATGCACAGCACATGGCATTTTAAGAAAACTTTTCCAACTCCAGTCAATGGTTTTATTCTAAGCAGAGGCCATCATAAATTCAGACCTTTGGGTAATTCGGTTTGTTTAAAAAAATGGTTATCACTCCCCATTTGATCAATTTACATTTAGTTTCATCTCAGAAGAACAAGACTAGTTGTTCAAACAAATGACTTAGAATAGTAAAAATTATTAGCAGTCATCTCTTTTCTCTGTGAAAACAATCAGCTCATTATCTAAAATAAGAGCTAAAAATTTGATCTTTTCTTCAGTTGTCCTCAATAAAGCTCTGTTCTGGATAAACTGTACCTTATATTTAAAAAAGATCTAATTTATCAATGTGTCCAACTTCAAAATGACCCTATCTACAATTACCATGCACATAGATAACAATTTGCGCCTTGCTAAACAGAATTCACCTACAATAGAAGTTTTTAATCTAAATTCTTACCTGGCAAGTCAACAACAGCAATTTATTCCACTTTGAACTCAGTCTTAAGTACACCTTCCCATGTACTCTTTCCTCAGAGGAGACTTGAAATTCTAAACATATTTCTTTGGCTGTTATCTTTTTACTAGCATTAGGCACATTTGCTAGCTTCCATTTCTCCAATTTCTAAGTTATCATTTCTCCTTTAGTATAAAGAGACTAGAAAGTATCTTAATATGCAACAATATTGAATTTATAATTTTTAAGCAGCTAAATTCTGACAACCAACTTGCTCCCTTTTCTAGACACATTTAGAGCTAATTTTTTTTAAGGACCAAAACCAGATTTCCCTCCGTGCTCTTAGCTTATCCAGCTAATGCCCTATATTTCTCCTCTCCTTCACTGTTCTAAATTTCTGGAAAAAGTTGTCTACACAATCACATTAGAAAAAGTCTTTGAGAATGAATGGATAGAGAATCTTGACAGTAACTTTGAAGGAAAAATTGAAAAAAGTTTAATGTTTCTATACACTGAAATAAACTTAAATGTAAACAATTAAGGAAGTATAGCTGCTTATATTGATGTTTAATGTTGTTTCTAAGAGATTGGTTCTAGTAAAGAACTGGTAAACATCTTAGCAATTATGGGGTATGACTTTTCTTTTCCACCCTTCATATCCAGTTACCAAGATCTACTGATCACATCTAAATCTCTAAATATAATTTCCATCAGAATCATATTAACTGTAAAAGAAAAATCTAAAAGGATTGGCAAGTGATGACTGGTAAGATTGATGATACTCTGTGAAAACTGTCTTTGTAGACTTAGTAATTTAATGTAACCAGTAACCTTCCTTCAATTATACATATGCTTGCCTGAAAATGCTATCTGAAGTTATTTTTTTTTAAATAACCAAAGAATATTCATCTGTGAAACAGAAAGATCACTGCATTTAAAGTCAGAGTACCTGGCTTTATTACTAGCTTTGTTAGTATGACTTAAGGTAAATCTCACCAAATATCAGGAAATCAGATTGTTCTTATATATAATTCCTAGCTCTCTTCAAAGCTCAGTTTAGAGGCTAACTCCTACATTCATTAATAAATATTTATTAAGTGCCTACTATATGCCAGGCACTGGGGATACAGAGGTAAGGTACAGTCCCTGGCCCTCAGACTTTTCTTAGTATTCCCCCTCAAAAAAATTAATTTGCATTTAATGTTTCAACATATTATTTTCTTATATGTATATATTATTCTTCCCCAACAGAATGTTTTTGATGAAGACAGTTTTACGTCTTTGGTTAAAAAAAAAAAAAGGTGCACATAGTGCTTAAAAAAAAAAAACTAACCTACCAAAGTGAGTTATAGACAACAGGCACTTAACAAATATTTATGGACTGATCCTTTATTTATGAGGGGATTGAACTAGATTATTTTCAAGGCCCCTTCAAGCTCTAAATCTATGATCTTTTTTCTGTTTAACACTTTACCGGGACCTCTCCTATAATCAATCAATAATTTAATAATGTGCCAGTAACTGTGCTAGGTTCTGGGGATCCAAAGACCAAAGTCAAATATATTTAATAGTACCTGCCTTAAGGGAGTTTACAATGCAGCTGGGAGAGACACTGTATACTAGTGTAGGTATATACAGAATGCATACAGGACAGACACAAAGTAAACATTTCACCGATAAGGTAGCCCAAGAGCTGAGCCTTAGATAATTAGGGATTCTAAAAGCTGGAGTTGTGGTACTGTATTCTAGCTGGGGAGGTAACAACATAGCAAGTGCAAAAACATGGAGATGAACACCTTTTAAGAGATAGTGACGTCAGCCTGGCTGAGCGTTGCATGTATAACGTGGAGTACCGCTGATGTGGCTGCAAAGGTAGGTCACCCCCACCATTAAACTGTAAATATAATACGATGCAAATTTTTATTTCAACAGCAAAATTACTTTTATTTCAAATTCAATGGGCACGCCTGGTCCTTCTAGCGTTAAGGAGAGGGAAAGGCAAGGGAATTAGATACAACAGGGAAACTTCGAGGTGAAGTTAACCTGAAAGTCATTTCCACCGTACTAAGCTCGCAGCTGCCCTTTGTTTTCACCACTCTACATGGTATCTATTTTACTCGTTTATTACAAGACTCATTCTCACCCCATTAAATCAGACTCCACTGGGGCAGATATGGTGTCCTGTTTCATCTTTAGGGCACAGGCTCTTATTACAACCACGCTTAAATAAATTTTTTTTTAATTGAAATGAGCCGACACGTCAGACAAGGGACCCCAAGTGCCGCCTCCAGTTTGTAAAGTGGAAAAGAAGACTCTGCAGTCATAGCAGCAGCACCTCGAGCATCATTTGACCTGAGGAACGAATGGAATTAAAGAGGTCAAGGGTGACTGGTGACAGGGGACGCGAGGGTGCCCCTCCCACGACGCGGAAGCTGAGTCAGCCACCTGTCCGGGGGGGGGGGGGGGGGGGTGGTGTCCCCGCCCAGGTGAGGGCTCCAAGGTCAGGCAGGATCCCTCGCAGCGGCTGCCAGTCGTGGGGTCCTCACAAGGCGGAGGGTGAGGAAGTTTAAGCAGGAGAAGCCCACACCAGAGAAGGGTCCTGAGGTCACGATGGCCTGCCCGAGGCCTCCTCCCCCCCAATCTGGGCCCCGGCTTCCGGGGCTACACCCTCCGCCGCCAGACTCCCCACGGCAGGGGAGGAGGACCCCGCTCCCGTCCGCCCCAACCCCGCAGGGGCTCCGGCGCTCCTCCGGACGCCGGACCTGGGGGCCGCGGGGAGAGGGTCTGGCTCCCCGCCTGGCTCCTCCCCTCCGCCCAGGGGCAGACCCGACCCCAGACGCTCCCCAGGTCAGCAAACCCCACACAGATCCAGCAGAGATCTGGTCCCCTTACCTCTACGCGCCGCCGCCGCTGCTGTACCACGTGTCCTCTTTTCTTTTTCTTCTTTTCCCCGCCCTCTTGCCAGTCCTTTTATCGACCCGTTCCGCCAATCGCCCGTGCCCTCTTGGTGATTGACAGCCCCTGGCCGCGAGGGGGCGGGGCCTGGGGTAAGTGGATGAGAGCGGGGGAGTTCGGTGTTCGAGATGCCGCTCTTGAGTTTGCTCTTTCGCGGAGCTTCTCCCAGGCCCGGCGAGGAAGGATGGTGGCTCAGAGAGGACCTGCTGCTGGGAGGAATTCCTTTACGAACCGCAAAGACGTCCTCTTGTGGGGCCTGCCCAGGGGGGGCCAGTTCGGTAACGACTTTAACAAAGCCTCTTGGGCAGAATCCCCCACTCCCCTTTGATTTTCATTCATTCTCTTCCGGAAGTGTATTGCTATTCACTAATCACTCTGGGGCACTTAAGCGGTCCCCCAGAGTATCCTACAAATTATTTGTTGTAGTTGTAGCGGTTTGTGTTTGCACAGCATTCATTGTGGTCAGGATCTTCAACATCATGCAGTCAGTTCCATTGCACAGTCAAAACAAATATTTTATTGTTATTCGGTCGTGTCCGTCTCTAAGTGACCCTTTTGACATTTTCTTGGCAAAGATACTGGAGTGGTTTACCATTTCCTTCTCCAGCACATTTTACAGATGAGGAAACTGAGGCAAATAGGGTTAAGTGACTTGCCCAGGGTCACTCAGCTAGTATCTTGATGACGGATTTGAATTCAGATCTTCCTGACTCCAATTACCACATGCCTTACTTGAAAGGCTCTGTGCTAGCCCAATGGTACTTAGATTCTGTGATTTCAGCTCTTCAAAAGCATCCCATGTGGGATTTATTCTTCCTTTTGCAGACTGAAAAAGAAAATATTGGATCCCTAGAGCCAGGAGAACTAAAAGTGGTTCTTCAGACTTTAGAACTAGAAGGAACCTTAGACATCATCTTCGAGGGGTTCTTAACCTTTTTTAGTGTCATAGACCCTTCTAAGAATCATGGTTTTGAATGCTTCAAATAAAATACACAGGATTACAAAGGAAACCGATTATATTGAAATCGTTATCAAAATATTAAAAAAAAAAAAGGTTCACAGGCTCCAGGTTAAGAACTTCTGATGTAGTTCAACCCTTACATTATATAATTTGGGGAAATTCTCCCTAATCCAGTCCACAATGTTAAAGATAGTAGGCTAGACCAAAAGTGAAGAGCTTTATGAACATGTTAAGGAATCTACTGTTGCTAATAGCAAATTCAGATTCCTAGGGTACAGATTTGGTTTTTATAACAGTTCAAATCTGCTTAAAGTACACAACCAATCAACAGTATTCTTTGGCAATTTAGTATAGATAAGTAAAGCATTTCACCTGAGAGGGAGAGATAGACAAAGAGGGGGATCAGCTAAGAAAGAAAAGGGCAGTATTTGGAATACAACTGGAAGGACTTTTTATCAGAATAAGAAACCATTTTCTGTTCAAGGGCAGAAATAAAGAAAAGAGACCAAACACTTCTACAATGGTAAAAAGCAGTCCTTTTAAATAAAACTGCAGCCTCTTATCTAAGGACAGCAAGTGGGTGGATAGGACTGACGACTTTACCAAGTCCTTATGTAGGGGTTGGGGACTTTCTGATATTAGGCCACCAAATGATTGGGGAATTTCTATATAGTCCACCAACATGTCACAAAATAATGAGTTCCTACTTTCCCCCACACAGATAAGAAGACTAAAGCCGGCACAGGTTATGATGTGGCTGAGTCAGAATTTGAATTTAAGTTTTCAGGCTCCAAATCGAGTACAGATTTTATGTTACCTACTAGATTGTAAGCTCCATGTGGGCACGAATGGCTTATTTGTTTTTGTAGCCCCCCACAGAACCTAGCACAGTGTCTTGCATGTTGTAGGTACCTAATAAATGTTTCATAGAAGAAAAAAGGTAGATTCAGAAGAAAGGGGATTTATGGAATGTGTAGTAGTCCTAATGTAGGCCATAGAACTTTGAGAACCCTTATCCCATCTCCCACTCTCTCATCAATTCATGGGAATATAAGCTCCTTGAGGACAGGAACTCCTTGGCTCTATTTTTTATTGTAATTGTATCCCCAGTGCCAAGTACCAAGCCCAGTACCAAATTATTGTTCACTTATTGATTTTTCTTTTTTTAAATGTATTTTATTTTCAATTCACAGAACAAAACAAGAATTTCCATAATACTACAATAAAAAAATTTGATTGCACATGAAATTGCAAATCTACCATGTACAACTTGGCATTTCCTCCAAATTTACAACAAAGTTATCATGTAAACTTTTTTTTCCTTCCTCCCTCTTCCCCCCCTCCCCATGGCTACCATTATGTGTATGTGTGTGTATATATACTTATACATACATGTATGTGTGTGTATATATACTTATACATACATATGTATGTATATGTATATATATGTAAAATTATTCTATACATACTTATTTTTATCAATTCTTTCTCTGGATGCAGATAGTGTCTTTCTTTGTATGTCCTTTATTTTTATTTTGTGTATTTATGATAGTAAAAATGACTTAGTCCCTCAAAGTCATCCTTAAAACAATATTGCTGTTTCTGTATACAATGTTCTCTTGGTTCTGTTCCACGCCCTTTTAAGATCATTAACCTCATTTTTTCTTATAGCACAGTAGTATTCCATCACAACCATACACCACAACTTATTCAACCATTCCCCAATTGATGGGGATCCCTTCAATTTCCAGTTCTTTACCACTGCAAAGAGTGCTGCTATAAACATCTCATTCACATTCAAAGTAATAATTACTATTTGTGAATTTCCTTCCGTCTTATTTTTACTCACTGTTTTCTTTCTCAGCCTCTTTTTGCCCTATACCTGTTAACGTTGTCTTCTCCCATCTTCACCTACCTCTCCCTATCCCCTCCTTCTACCCCAATCTTAATCCATACACCCCTCTAAACATCCCTCCCCAACCCTGTTCCCAGTTTTCTCACCTCTCTATATGTTCAGAAGATTCTATACCCTTCTGGATGTACACATTGTTTCCTCTTCAACCCAGAAGAGAGTAAGATTCCAACCTTACCAGCCCTCCATCTCCACCTGCTTCCTTTGTATTAGTTCTTCCTTTCACGCCTCATTTTTATAATATATTTGCTCCCTTTTACCCTTCCTATCCAATTTAAAAAAAATTTTTTTTTTAATTTTTAGGCAATTGGGATTAAGTGACTTGCCCAGGGTCACACAGTTAGTGTCAAGTGTTTGATCAGTGCTTTATCCACTGCACCACCTAGCTGCCCCCCAGTTTTGTTTTTTTTTAGAATCACATGCACAACTCTGCCCCAACCTTTATTTCTAACTACCTTAGTAATGATGACAGTTTTAAGAATGATAAGAATGGTGGCAGTTAGGTGGCACAGTCAATAGAACTCTGACCTTGGAGTCAGGAGGACCTGAGTTCAAATCCAGCTTCAGACACTTAACACTTACTAGCTATGTGACCCTGGGCAAGTTACTTAACCTCGATCGCCTCACCAAAAAAAAAAAAAATTTAAAAAAAAGAATGATAACATTTTTATACATATATGTGTATGTATATATATGATATATATACACACATATATATACATAAATATATCTATCTATATCTATATCTATATCTATATCTATATTTATATCTATATATATCTCCTCCTCTAAACCACAGTTAGGGTCCCCAGCCCAAAAACGTTCCTGCTCCCTGCAGACATTGAACTCATTGGTCATGTCCTCGCTCCTCCTCATCACAGCCAAGGATGACCTTTGATCAATAAATAGTGCTAGGCTTGGCTTCCAGAAGCAATGGGAGTCCTTTAGTCACCCCACTGTTCAGCTGTCTGCTGTTCCTTAGATGAAAGTTTGTGAGGTAAAATATTATGAGGTGAAAGTTTCTGAGGCTGAGGCAAAAGTTGAGGTGAAATTTCTTGAGGCCCCTTCTTGAAGTCCACTTTCCTAAGAGTTGCCCTCAGGGTATACCTTTTGTTGATTCAGTGAAGTCAGTCTAGTAGTGTCTATACTTCACTTAGGCCAAACCTCAGCCCCTAGAGGCCCTGTCTTTTCTGAGGTCCTCTCAAGTTATCTTGGGAGGACAACTTCTGTACCCCTTTATTTTTGCTGCTTTAACATTCATTTTCTGTCTTTTTGTAGAGGAAATCTGGAGAGCCTGGAAATTTCTGACCTACTGTTCACCATCTTTCCAGAATGCCCCAACTTACTGACTTTTTTAGAGAATGAGAATCAAGGCTAGGTTTAATGCTAAGCTTTTGAAATTTTGCTTTTTGAGTCCTTAGTTGTTCAGTTGAAAATATTAAGAATGCTTCCCTCCTCCCACCCTCAGAACTTTACTATATGAGGCATTAAGTACTAGGAGTCACTTGGGCCAGTATTACGGTTTTACCAAGATTGAGAAATAACTTAGACGTGTGATATTTAAAAAGTTTGAGACATAATTTCTGGGTAATCATTTTATTAATAATAATAGCATATTATTAATAAAAGGGGACAGTGACACTCTTGAATGCCAAAGACCAATCATGGAACTCACTCAGGCTTATATGCCCTTGGTAGAGAGGGTGGCAATCTACTCTGATTGGTTAACAAGTGATGAGTGAGAATGAATATTATGAGAGTTGGACTTCTATGAGGGGTTGGGGACTTGACTTTGATCATGTTATTTACTTCCAAATCACCCCCAGCCTTAGGCAATTTAATCAAAGAATTTATCCATACCCAATGCTGAGTAAAACACAATGGGCAAGAATTCACCTAGAGAAGGTGATCTAGGTAGGGTAAATTTTGGCAGAGGTCAGTAATGTCCTTCAAAGGCTGGATTTCGAACAAGGAAGTAGAACAGGGAAAAAACCTGGATCTCCCCCATAATTTATTATTAATAATCATTTCTTTCACATAGCTCTTAATTAAAGGTAAATAGCTACATTACTCTATGGTGTTTAAATTGGACTAAAAATATTCAGCT